AAATGCTGGTGAGACTACACAGATACGCGCTTTCCCTGACCACAATTAATTTTTAAGCACCCATGAGAGAGATTCCTTTGTAAATATTTAGACAAAAACTTCCATCCTGCAACACTTGTTAGATTTTACGAGGCTATCAGTATTAAATGAAGTAGCTATATATAGCTACCTTTTTATGCTCTAATATCTTGTCACCCACTAGTACTTTTTCAAAGCTGAAATCTTTGAACAGCTGGGACAACAGATCTTCTGTTCCTGGAGCTGGGATTAGAGGATGAGAAATGCAATAGCTAAATGAGGAAAACAAATTCTCAAAGTCTACTGAATATTATTTATTTAGAGTTATGTCATTCTGACAGCCCAATTATTACAGTGAATACAATGCCATGCTGCAGCCTGTGTGATGATCCTGAGAAAGGTCATTTACAGCAACCTTCTGATCCACCAACCCAGCTAAGCTTCTATCTTACTGTCAGCATGACTGTAGTTGTGGGAGGTTTAAGTGACCCATAAATACTATAGTGCAGCTGTGGTTACTGGAAGAGTGGAATGCAAGACTTGATTTTGGGCTATTACGTTACATATAACTAGAATAGTTAGGGTTGGAAAGGACCATAAGATCATTCAGTTCCAATCCCCTGCCATGGGCAGGGACGACTCACTCCAGACTATACTGCCCAAGGCTCTGTCCAACCTGGCCTTGAACACTGCATGTCCTTACTTTGTGTTAAAAAAACGAGGAAGAAAACAGTGCTCCATACTTACTGCTATGTATTTGGGACGGACGTCCTGAAAGTAGGTGGCCAAACCCTAAATAGCCAGAACAGCACTACAAAAATTAAACTTTCAGAGATCTGAAAATCTCAACAATCTAACTCAATCTGTATTCAATTACACAAGCGTCTTTACCGCAAGACCTCGAATGCCCGTTAAACCCCTACTGAAAGACAACTGAGACAGATTCAGCTCCATGCACCTCCGAACTTGGCAAGGGGAGTTGGCTGAGAGGGAAAGCACTGGGCCCACCGCTAAAGCAGGGGCCCCGCAAAGGGGCTCAGGACGCTGGTTCAACACAAAGCTTTTAAATACGCACGGAAATAGCGAGGTGGAGAAGGGGGGGAGTGTGGAGGGGGAGCGCCCAGCTGCCTCCGTACGCGAACGAGAACCGGACAGCAGCGAGGCGGCGCGGCCCAGGCCCGCAGAGCCCTCAGGGTCGGGTCTCGCGCCACGGCCTGCCCGGACCCTCCCCTCACGGCTGAGGAAGAAGCAACCCCGCGCCCGGAGACCCTGACCCTCCCCAGCCGCCCAGGGACTCACCCAGAAGATAAGGTTGAGGAAGACCAGGACGGTTTTGGAGGAGGTGATGCCGCACTGCCCCATGGCGCCTGCCGCCCCTCAGCCTCCAGCCGCGCCGCGCCGCTCCCCTCAGCTCCGCTCCGCCACCGGCCCCGCCCCACGTGACCCAGGCGAGCAGAGGCGGCGGCGCCGCAGCCAGCCTAAGATGGCGGCCGCTCGGGTCACGTGGCGGGAGGGGGGCGGAGGAACCTAAGATGGCGACGCGCTCCCTCTTAAAGGAGCCGCCGCGGCGCTGAGGAGCCTAGCGCGCCCTTGGGGTTCACCTCAGGAAGGGGAGCCCCGGCTAATGGTAGCCCCGGTACACATTCACCTTAGCTCGGGTGGACAGCGCTCCTCCTGCCCTCAGAGCTTCCCGAATCACGGCTGATCTGCTGCCCACAGAGGGTGTGAAGGTGTTGGGCTGTGAGGGGATCTCTGGTGTGCTGATGGGCCTTAAAGGAGAAAATGAACCTGTGTTATCTGTGCACCAGGCACGGCAGGCAGGGAGAGCGAGCGTGAGATGAGGGAACAACATGCACTTGACAATCAGGACATTTAGCAGGAACAAGGAAAGCTTCCAGTGATGTAAAAGCACATGGCTCTGGCTGCACAACCCAGCAAAGTGAGGAAAGTCCAAGCGCTGTTAATTGTTAGAATGCACCCAAAGAGGGTGGGATTTGCCAGCGCAGAGCAAAGGAAAAGCGACTGAAGAAATCACCAGAGGATGCGCATGGCTTCCACAAGCTGTGCCTTGCAGAGGCTGCATGTGCGCTCCGGGAGCCAGGGCAAGGTAACACCCGTCCGGCATCCACTGCCCTGCTTATTCACCAGGTTCTGGTTAAGTGCAGCCAGCAGCCAGCCCTTCATTGTGAAGGCCTCGGTTGCTGTCTTGCTGGTCAAACCAAACCCCTCCTCCCCGCTTCTCCTGGCCTCATGGTATCTTCCTTCTTGAGCTTGCTTTCGTTCCCCTTCTCTGTTCCTACAATACCCGTCCTTCCCGAGCTGCGCTGCCCTGCCTGGTTGTCACACCTGGTGAGCTCGCTCAGCAGTGTGTCCTTTCTGCTGTTCTAGCAGGTTGACATCTTGGGTGGAAATAACCCCATGTTATTGAGGGTCTTGACATTTCAGGGATGAGTCGTGTGAAGGCAGACAAGTAACAATCACTTATATCCCCTGCTCTGTTTCCATGGTACCAACGTTTTTTTTCCCCCTCCTACAGTTTTGGAAATTATATCCAGACCCAGTTCCTCGATACCATGGAGATACTAAGTCTTTTTTTTTCAGCTTTCAAGGCCTTATATGCTCATGGAGAAAACTTCCCAATCTTCCCAGTGTTATCAGGCCATTTTCTGTCACGAAAATGGACTTATGGACCCAGAAGATATGCTCAAAGTTGTCTGCACTATTAATGTTCTGCCCTCAATATGTGGCATTTAGAGCGTGGTTATGCCTTGTAATTTCTGCTTTCTGATGTGCTCTTTGTGCTTTACGTATTACAATTCCATGACATATGGTATTTTTAAGTGTATATAGATTATGCTATCAAAAATGCCACTATGAGTTGATAGAAAAAAAAGGCTTTCTAAAAGGAGTTTGATAGAAAAAAGGATTAATAATGATATTTAAAAGCTCTTAGATTTTTGTACGACAATGCTGTTGTGCAATTTCAGTGTTGAATTTGGCAAACCTAGCAGCCTGCTCTGATTTTCTATATGAATTTTCTCTACTTTCACAACACTGTATGTATTTTGTTACAGATTCATAGGAATGGGTGTTCACTAAACAGTCTTTGGTTTCTTTTTTGTACCTAGCTTTGATAACTGAGAATGATGAAAAGGTGCAATAAAAAGGCTAGGACTTTATGCTTGGAGAGGAGAAAAGTGCTGTTACGCATGGCCTGGGATGGGGTTGGAGCTTTATATATGTGGGACCAACAGGGGCTCATGGGGAGGATGGCAAAGGTGTCGGGGAGAGAGGAGGAATGGGGAGACTGCAGCCAGTCCTTTGAATGGGCAGCGGGATTGTGTGGTCTAGGCTCCCATGATAGTAACATCAAGCACCAAGGAAAAGATAATGCCAAGTGTTCATCTCAGCATGGCTCCTGGAGAAAAGCAAATATAACAGTGGTTGGCATTCTTCTTTGCGGTGCTGTCTTGCTGCTCTCATGCACAGAAAGCTGGCTGATGCTGGGTGCCAGTGTGGGGTCTTTGTTGGGGTTTTTGTCAGGTTTTTGTGCAGAGGGATACTCTTGGGTCTTTGGAGAACACATGCAGAAGTTTTGGGTATTATCAGTCCCTGTAACTTCAAATCCACACTCTCTCTGGAATAAGGTGTTAGCCTGTGCTGTCATCTCGTACCACGCATGGCATGCCAGTCAAAAACTGTCCCTCCTCCCTTATGGGAACACAGGCAGGAAATTCTAGCTCTCTGCCTGCACAGGTAGAGGAGGAGGGATGGCTTGCTGAACTGAGGATAGGCAGTGCAGTTCCCAGGAGAGCGGTGAGCAAGGCATGCTAGAAGCAGGTTGTAACAAGTAGTTTGAAAACTGGCTGCAGTTTCAATAGTTGGCTTGGCTGAATTGGACTGAACTGTCTCCAGCAAAGCTTTGCTGCTTAGATCTTCCCCGCCTTGCTTGATGTGGACAGGTAGCTTGGCTGCTGAGATGTGCTTTTGTCTTTAATACAGTTTAAGCCTCTTTGAAATTCTTCAAAGAGTGTTTATCCCACATTTCACAACATTTAGCTTGTGACTATCATCATAGCAGTATCTTCAGAAATGTGTACCAGAAATGTAGACAAGGATATCGTGCACTTCCACTTCTTATGAGACAGCGAGAAGATGAGAACACTAAGGACAGGTGTGGGGCAAGAGAGGCCCAAAGTTCTCAAATACAGAATGCAAGTGTGTTAGCAAGATACTGACTGCATCATTTGTGGACTCAGAGGCATCTTTAGTATTTAATGTAAGACACCACCATGGCACAGACTGCACTGAATGGCTGGTTAAGGTAAGTGGCTTGAGGAGTTCTGCAGACTTGGAAGTGCAGAGGCAAGTGTGCCAGCAGATACACTTGTAATGTAGTTTGCCCTTCAGTTTAATTATGCCTGATTCAACTCTCTGTTTGTTATATAAACACTGGGAATTAAATTCTGTGGGCACAGCGCACTTTGTATTGATGCATTTGAGTCTAGGCTGTTGCAAATGACTTATCTAGGCAGGCCTGTAGACAATAGCTCAGCAGTGATAATTTCCATTTGCAAGCATGCATTAGAAAAGTAAAATTGCTTGCTCTTGAGACAAACAATAGTAAATGTAATAGAAATGAGTTAACTCCATTTGAATGGATCAGGAACCTCCAGCTTTTCAACAGCTCCTGAGTAGGTAATCATAAGCTTCTTTGAAATGTAATAGACTGGAAAGGTCCGTGAACATTGAAGGATGTATAGTAAAGTGACCTGACAAACATTTTTCTAATCAATCTTTTCATTCATCGTTTGGAAGTACAGTTAGCGAATGAGAGCCTGCATCTGACAGGGTATTGTAAACCCGATTATTAGTGATGATCAGGTGATGATCAAATGTTGGAAGCAAGGTCCTTTTTATTGCTGTAGAAGGCATATAGAAGGAACCAGGAGCACCATTCAAGACTGAGTGGAAAAAGAAGGTTGAGATTAGCTTATTTTCTTTATATCAGCTATCATTTGACTTGGCCTACATAAAATATAATTTTCAATAATAAAAACATGCACACTTATATATGCATCATTTAAATATAATTTTAATGAACTAATTGTGTAATAATACATTCTTGCTCAAATACACTGGATGACATGCAGAATGTTTGTATGCTCTAAGATGGTGTATCCTAACATGCATTTGATAACAGGCATTGGGGTGTCATGGTAAGTGCTGGCATGCTGGAGGGAGACCAAAGCACTACAGTTTGAAGCTAAAAGCCTGATGTGAGAATCTGAAAGATTCTGCATACTGATGTACTGGAGTAGTATAGTCAAAAAGCAAGATATGAAAAAAATCCGATTAAAAACATGTCACTGCTATTGACAGCTTCCCCAGAGGCACACTAACTTTGTTTATATTAAGAAGTAGGTGCAGGTTGTCTGCAAAGTCTTTTCTAATGCTGGAGAGCAACTGAATCTATGCAGTTTATCCATTTCATGCTGTGTGGAAAAGGGAGAAATCACAGCACCGTCCCTTCTGTTCTTTGGAGTCTTCAAACTACAAATAGCACTTTCTCCCTCCACACTCCCCCAACATTACATCTTCTGTGTGAGCTCTCTGCCAGCTCCAGTTGACTCATTTTTCAGGATCTATATCCTGGAAAATGGCTTCAGTGTGACATGACTTGTCCTTTGGCAGCAGAGCCTGCTAACAAAGCCCTTCTGTCTCCACACCTGCGGGCGTGTGCTCCTGTCCCCGCACTGCCCCACTCCCTTTCCAGTTGGGCCAGGGCACATATTTGAAGAGAGGGTGATGCTTTTTTACTCACAAAGAGCTGGGTGCTGCTGCAGTGACTGGGGGATGGGGACTTCTTAAATCAGAACTGCTGCAAAGGAAAGGTTTGTGAAATCTCAGAGCACAGTTTGGTGGGATTTCCCTCTCTGCAGCACTGTCAGCTTCAGCAGCCTTCTGCTAGCTTCTCCCTTCTCCCTAACCCTTCTTCCCGTGGCAGTAACAAAGTTACCAGTATACGTATTCGAGTAACCATGGCTACCAAGGGGCAGGAGCAGATTATGGTAAAAAAAAGAAAAACAACTCGAGAAAAAAGGTTGTATTTTTACCCTGGATTTTTCCCCAGTCTGTTCACTGAACGTTCCCCAAGAGAATGTGCAACAGCCCACCCATCGGGGCCATGCATAGGTAGAAATGAACAGTGGGCAAGCAGAAATGCTTCTCAGACTTCACTTCTTTCAAGAACCTGGAATGCGTTTCATGTTACCTGATATTCAGTTTCTGTCTAGTCTTGACTGGCAGTGTAGGCTGCCTCCCCACATTGCTTCTGTAATCAGTGGAAAATGAATGGATGCTTCATCCCATCCTAAAGAATGTATTTGGGATGAAATGGATCACATCCTTAAGGGATACCTTTCAATCCACTGAGCATGGAGGACCCTGAATGAGCAGCTTAGGTGTTTGGCCAGATGAGCTCTCCTGAATCTAAACCATTACTGTTCCCTGCAACTCTCAGCCAAAGGTGTGCATGATTTCTTACAGATTTCCAGTGCACTTACTGCTATTAACTAAACCCACATCACTCAAGAATGATGAAAGACATACAGTCTGTCAAATCATTTCCACTTGTATGAATTTAACATGCTGTAAACAGATACCATATAAACCATCATCATGTGCTGTTCGATTCTTGTTCAAAATTCAGCTGTTAAGGTCATCTTCTGTAAGCTTTTGTGCTGTTTGTACTGTGCCATGTCTGTTCCTTGCACATATTCTGTATTGCCTTTTCTCTTTTACAGCCTTCACTTCAATCCAACTCATGACTCTCTCACCCTGGCTATTTAAGTTTTTTACCTACTAAGAAAGTGTTTCCCAAAGAAAACAGAAGGTTATAAAGCTGGTGTAAAGGTAAGACAGTGAGTCAGTGACAGGCAGGATAAATAGGCTTCCTTACACTTTGGCCTGTAGAAGCACTGCATGGGCACATAATCCAACATGCATGTCCCTGTGTCCCCATTACACGATGGGTATGATGACTTCCTTTTGGTTATGTACACCCTAGGGGCATGGCTCAGGGAACAGAGGGAATTTGGGCATCTCTGTAAGGTGCTGTGCAGCCTCCCTGCCTCAGACAGTAGGTACTGTTGTCAGAGTTCATTGTAGAGTCTGCAGTGGAGTGCTTTTGAAAAAGATATCATTAAAATATGTCATTCTCATAACTGGTATTTCTCTATCTTTGGAAAACTGATAAATCTTAAACCCTACACCCAACCCCCCTAAAACCCCCAAGCTCTAGGCACAAACTAGTTAGCAGGGCTGCCTTTACTGCTGCAAAACAGTGTTACCAAACTGTTCTCTTGGTGCCATCTGTAGCCATTGTGGGCTGCTCTAAGATTTAGCATCTGTGTTTGCACACACACCATTTAACAACAATCTTTGCAGTTTACTAATGGTTAATCCTATTATACTGAGAGGAAAGAGGGTATCGCCGTTAAAGCACATACTCCATGCATGAAGAACCTTGCCTGGATTCACTTCTTGGTACTGGGAAATTCATGTAACCTCATTTTCTGATTTCTGCATGATTTCTCAAGGCTTTTGGTGTACCTCACAGGTATGTTTTGAGTCTTTAGTTGACACCTAGGAGGTCTGGAGTTTCTGGAAAGCAGGACTGCTGTACCTGTTGAGCACCCTCCCTTGGATATTCTGCCTATCCCACTTGGAGTGATCAGGGTGATACCTTTATGAATATCATCGACTAGCTTGGAGTAGATCCTCAACATAATCCTGCCAGGTGTTAAGTGCCATGACATAGCTCCAGAGCTGTGTTTAAACACATCCCTATATTCAGCTGTGGTTCCAGTAGAGTAATCTGTAAAACCACACTTGGTACTTTCCACATGAGTATGGATAATTAAAGGGAAAGTAACTCCTTCTTTTGTATTTATAAAACCAATGTTCACTTCTGTACTCTGTAAATGTCCCTTTTTCCATCTAAATTTTGGTGTTTCCCAGCTGATGGGACTTAGTCCTCCGTCCTCAACTGTTCCAAGGAAAATTAAACATCTTCCTTACCAGTTATAGGTAGCTGAGTTGCAGTCTGAAATCATCCCTCTGTATAGTTCTAGCAAGCCAAGTGTGGCTCAGTGTCCTGAAGTAGGAACAAAACAAACTGGTATCGAGCAGGTGAATCCAGCTAGAAAAAAAACAGAAAAAGTTAAGCTTAATGTAGTGTCCTCATTATTGACTTAGCACCTCTGTGTAGGCCAATTTTTCAGGGGAATACTTTATGTCACCCAATATTATGTGTGTTTTAGTGCTCACTTAATGACAATGTAATATTTCAAACAAAATACAACTTCTGTAATGAGATACCTCATTTCTGCCAGGATGTTATTAGGATAGCTGCTACAGTGATCTAATGAGATTGACCTTCATTTCATAACAAATTGCTCTCCTCCTGAAACTATTTTTAATGGCCTTCTTGATTTATGCAAAAGGACCTATAGTGATAGCCTTCATTTGGGGAAATAAATGATTCAGATCATTCCAAATTTGATGAAAAGGGTGAGTGAAAGTGCTACTATATTTTTACCATGTCACTCATCGGTTGAGTGCAGCATTGTGAAGGTCCCCTGCGGCTTTGTTCTCGCTGCCTCCCTGCAAGGAACCAAATAAATGAGCTTATTTCATTCAGGGTAGAAGATAAAACCCCATATAATTGCCAGCACTGGGGCCGCTGGAGCAGCTCGCAGGCTGTCACCTCGAGGTGCTCCTGCTCCCTGGAGTGCTGTTTGCTGCCATCTACCGGACATTGCCAACGTTCCAAGGGGACCGTCAAATCGGTGCTCCAAGACGTTTGTTGTCCTGATAGTCAAAGCCGTGGTGCTCGTGACTTCTAAAGCACATTTTAATGAGATGAATCCTTTTTAAAGGGTGACAGAGGAGAAAAAGAGGAATTCATATTCTGAATATTTCTGCTGAGTGTCTTAAAAGTATTGCTTAGTTGAAGCAGGGTGGTTATAGCAATTCAGAGGGAAGATGAGTAGGAGATGGTTACAATTGGCATTATATTAATAATAGATAAGGATGCTTTGCTATGCTGTAGTTATTTTAATCTGAAAAGCCTACTACCTTATTAGTATTTAGTCCTCACCATGGTACCGGTTTATTACATGGTACCAGTTTTATGGATGATGTCACTTACCCACTGTGAGGCAGAAGATTTGCAGGCTTTGCATATGCATTTCCCATTGCAGAAAAAATATATGGTTTAAAAATTACATGACAAAATGTTTTCTTAGTGCACCTTATGCATTTGTCTCATGCTTTCTGCAGACCTGGCTGCAAACATCATGCTTGTAAATTCCTCTTCAAAAATCCCAACCGTAAGACTGTTTGCTCAACCAAAACATGATTTGAGATGGAAAGAGTAAGATGCAAATTAAACTTTAAAGGAAAGGCTTCACAAAAATAACAAAGGCCATACGTGTTCCCACATTAAGATAAAGAACGTTCAAGTCTGTATGTACAGCACCATCTGGTGACTTATGCACAGCAGGATCCCAAAGCAGGGATTTATGTACCTTGCCACAGCAAGTCAGTTGATATCCCCCAGCAGACCTGCTCCTTATGTTCTTACAACTTCTTCAGAAACACAGAAATATGCCTTCATTCCTATTTTCCAGGCTTTGGCTGTTGTCATCATTATTTGTGCAGAGGAGCAGGAGGATTTGTTGCTGCTTATGGCCTCCTCCTCAAGTCTTACTATGTAGTCATGCTTTCCTTTTATCTGGGAAGGGCTCCACAGGCAAAGTCCCAGTCTTGGTAGCCGTCAGCAAGCACACAGATCATTATCTGGCACCTTGCCTTTCTTGGCTGCCCGTCTTCCTGCCTGGCTGAGACAGCAATTCATCCTGTGCCTTTCACTGCTGCTGCCCACTGCTCCAGCCTGTCCCCTGTGCCGCAGCTGTTGCACATAATGTCACATTCACTGTGCTACAGGACAAACACAGGAGAAGTCTGTCTGGATGGGCACTTTGCTGTAGGTGTGCATGGTGTAGGGCAGTGGTTGTTGGTTTGCTTCCACAGAGCCAATGGACTGGATTATCCATTTGTAAGCATCGTCCTTGGGTGCCTTAACTATTTGTGGATACATGGACTTTGAGCAACCTTGTCACAGAAACAGACTCCAAGAGGTTTTAGTTTTCCTGTAAGCAAAGAGCAGGTAAAAAGATTCAGAGCTTAATTCTCCAGTGTGTTACACCATAGTATCATTGATTGCAGTACAGTTCTATTTCATCTTAAACCCAAGGTAATTGACTGGAACATCATGTTTTTAACTCATAAATCCTGTATATCCCACACATCTCAGGCAATTACCTCAGCAGCTGTGGATCTCTGAATCACTTACATGAGTCTCCTTACCACTGAAGAAAATAGATCTTTGTTTCAGTAGAACAGCCCATGGGCTTAGCAGAAACATCCTGTGTCTGTGTCTCGATACAGCATATGAAGTTCTTCCTCCAGCAGTAGTCACACAAATGCTGCAGGAATGAAATGCTGTCACTGAGGCTCATTTAATTTGTTTCATGTAGCAGTTTTCTTAATTCTTTAGAGAACAGTGTCTTTTAATTTGGCACAGTGCACTGAGCTGGTTACAAAATCAGTCAATATTGTAGGTGAGAAAGAGTTGAGAGTCAGCATCTTATCTGATGACCTGTTCTGCTGAAGCAGACAGATATATCTGTTTTAGCAGTAAGGGAGGGATGAGGATCAGAGCTCACTCATTTGCCTGCGATGCTGCATCGTATAAAATCTTCCTCCCACAGTGTCCAAAGTCCTTTGCTTTCTGATGAAGCAACCTGGCATGACATATGTCAACTTGCATGGCTGTGAAGCCTGCAAGGAGGCTGTGAGGATATTTTGGAAGGGTAGAGAACTTGCTGAATGTTAAAATATAGCTTTATGCTAAGATTTAATGCAGAAAGGGGTGAACCACATTGTAAACACCAAAGTCAGTAGCTGTGTTAACCATTGATGAAATCTATATTTCATTATTTGAAAACTCATGTTTTCACTTTCATTTTTTATTGGCTTAGTCCCTTGGGAACTTCTCTGTAGTGAAAGACACAGAGTACATTAGTGTAGGCTTTTGAAATACGTTATGTATAAGCAATAGGGAGAACGTGCCATGCTACTGTTATTGGTTAATTTTGCTAAAAAAATAATTAAACCCAGTGAAGATAGAGGCAAAAGATCAAATTTAGAGATTCCCAACTGTAATAAAACAGCCCCTTTGAAATATACTTACAAGGACAGTCCTGAGCACGCTGGATTTGCCCAATAAATCTTTGTTCTCTTTTTCTCTTGTTGACAGTTGGAGTCCTAATGTTCCCAATAACCTGAGTGGTACAAAGGGACAGGAATCCTGTTCTTCTTTTCTTGAGGGTAACAAGCATCTGCTTTTATCCACACCTTACGGAAAGTGGCAGGTCAGTGTTGAGAACAGATGCAGTTTAGTGACCCTGTAAGGAAGGCAGTGCCAGCCTATCTGGTCCGGTTGCATTTCTTACCTTTTTCCATTCTATCCCAATTCAGAACACTGGGACAATGCAATACTGACATGGAGCATGTGAAGCCTTCTGTTCACAGCAAGCATCCTTTGCTCATCTCACTTTGTGTGATATAGCTGCTGAGGCAACTGGCTGCAGGATGGCCAGACACTGAACTTGGAGCTGTGGGTCCCACTGTTGGATCACTTTACTGGGATCTGCTGCCTTTTTCTTAGGAGCTTGTAATTTCTGAGGTTTTATAGTTAAATCACTAAACCGCCCAGGGGTTCCTATGCTCATGGCCATGCTGTTTTACCATCTGACATATTCAGCTCATGTTACAGCTGCTACATTCATATCTTTCATCTGCGTGCCATGAACAGGGTTCTGAGATGGCTTGGATCAGCATAGCTCTGTGGTCTTCAGCAGAGCTATCTTAATTTACATTCAGACCTCCACGCACAAAGATGCACCTTTGTGAAATGCCCATCTCCATCCAGAATGGAGCCTCCTTGCGCATGCAAGCTGCCATGCCAGAGGTCTGCCACATGCAGGGCGATTCTCTGAGGCTGCAGTCCAGTGAGTTGCACACTGAACTTGGGCTTTTGTCCTGATTAATTGCAATTCATTTCTCAAATCATCAGGAAAAGTCAATCTTTGATGTAAAACACAGCTGCGTTTACCACAAGGGAGGCCTGTGCCAGACATGTAAAGCATTCCAGAGCCCAGCCACGCACTGCTTGGGTAAGGACTGTGGCTGGTTTGTGTTTCAGAAGGTTATGTACAGTTCTGGCCTTTATTCTTTACGTGACCTATTTGAGTAGAGAGACCTGTTCTGTAGAAGGGCAGCTGTTTTGAACTTACGATGTTTTGGAGAGAGGAGGAAATGCAGTGAAGGATAGAATTAGGTCACAACTTCAGGATGCCAAGATTTTTCTCTTGATTTGGTTGCTTTTGTAAAGCAGGCTCTCGCATTTAACCGCACTGGAAGGAATAATCTTTTCTCTGCAATCACTGTACAAAGGAAATTGATTGAAATCATAAAAAAATTAATTTTCTACATTTCTATGTGACAGTATGGCAATAAAGACAAGCCCATCTCAGCTATGTACTTAGCATTTATGATCGGGGGATAATAAACAATCAATCGAAGTCAGTTAAAGCAGTTCTCCAAAGCAGTTTAGAATCTCACTAAAATGACTGAAACACAGTGCAGCACAAACACTTCTGTGCTGAAATCAGGTTCAGGGCAGGAACAGCAATGGGATTGTTGATGATTAGTAGGATGAGAAGCAGGATTTGAAAGACCCACTTTTAAAACCGAGGTGCTCAGTGCAGTGCAGACAATGTCCTGAGCCCACTGATCGCTCCCTCTAAAGAGCAAGCTTGGAATCTTCATTCCCTGTGCTATTTAAAACTAATAAATGCATCTAAATTAGAAACCAGTGAAGTGTTTTCATGTCAGACCCCTCATTAAGACATTTTAGGAAGCACAGAAAGATAAAATGATTAAAAAGCAATCTTAGTAACTGGATGACTGTGTTAAATTTGTCTGCATTCAGACTGTGGCATGCAGCTTTGTGTGCAGGGACTGAGTGCAGCCACATCCCTAGTTCTCTGTCATAGCTGTCCTGTCCACATGTGTGTGTGGGAGGGTGTGGGGGAAATCTCGCCTATATTGTGTGAAATGAGAAATTAGCAGTGACCTTCAGGCTAATACTCAGATAGAATCTTTTGAGATTGCATTATAGCTCCTTTCACTACTGCTGCAGATTTTGAGCACTTATCTAGCTCTATCCATGATCAGGCTCACTTCCCATATGCAGTTAAAACAAGCTGTTTTTCGTACCTTTTCATGGGATAACATAAATTCACAGCCATACCACTGTCTTCTTTTGGCAGTTTGGAGAGCTAGGAAATACTGCAATGAAATGTTTCTAATTTAATTCAATCCCTCATTAATTTGTTCTCTCCCTTAATTCAGTGTCAGCCTCGGGACCCAAATCATTTGTATTAAAAATAACATAATGGCCATCCTTTCTTTTAATCAATGTTGACTGCTTTAGGCAGGTATTAGCAGATAATCTGATTACAAACTACACAGTGTGTTGGCATTTAGTTAATAACTATCAGGGAAAATTTGGAAAAGAATCAAAGGAGAAAAAAATAAAAATACAAAGAGGGAAAAGAGAAAAGAAGAGAAGAGAGCCTTACAACGACACATAATGTTAAAGACGTTATCATGGAAAAGTCTTTTCTGCTAGTGGCTGTTATTGGTACAAGCTTCCAAGATGCACAGCCAGTGGCGTCAGCCATGGGCGACAGGCTCAGCCCAGTGGGGAGTATTTGACAGAACTCCAAAAAGAATGAGGTCTATGGTAAATCTACCATCATTTCCTCTTAGACTTATTTAAACTTACTAATGGGATTTATAGGTTAGATACTTAGTGGTATAAACTGGCATAGCTCCACTGAACTCTGGCTGCATCATCTGCAACCTTCTCTGGGCTGGCAAGAAAACTGATGTGCAGCTAAATCCAGGTTGTACATAAAGCAACGTGGAGCAGCTCTGCAACTGCTTCATACTGGCTTGTGGGGAAGTCCCTAGTCAGGCTCACTGGCCAGTTCTCTAATCATCCCCAGCTGCCTTATGTCACAAGGACCCAGTTCTCGGGAGACTGAGAGCTGCCAGGTCTGGCAGTGCTCAGGAGGCTGGCAGGGACTTACTTTGAGGGGGCTGTGTGGCATCTCTCATTTCCTTACAAATACCATCTTGGGAATGCATCTGAAGTAGGTAGTTTGTTGTCTGCTATCTCTTCTTGGCAAATTTGCAATACTGCTGTAATAACAGCCCTTCTGGTCAGCCAGGAGCTCCAGAGGAGGCTGGGACTGGTTAGTTTTCACCTGCCTCCCCTGAGGCTGCGCCTGATGCTCCAGAGATCAGTCTAAATGGAGCCTGTGCTCTGCTGCTCAGCAGATGGCATTTTTCCAGTACATCAGTATTGGAGCGATACCCAGCACAGTGTGAGGGATCCCAAGCTGTTAAAGAATCTGCCTTTTGACTAAAGCAGAAGAAAAGAGCCTTGACAGTTTGCTGTTTTGCAAGTTACCAATAACAAAAAGAAGGTTTACAGTGTCCTGACATGTTCTAATATGCCATTACTCTCTGCCTAAGTTCCCAGTGCTCACTGAAGCTCCATTCAGTATATTTTACACTGATAATGGTGATGAAAGGTATCATACACCATCTAAGAAGGGACCAGCTCCTCTGGGAGTAATATGAACGATATGTGCTAATCACACAAGGGCCTTTGAAGCTTTTGGTAGGGACTGCTTGAAGTCATCAGCATAATAATGTAGTGGATTTGGGACTTAAGAACCCCACAGGCTGATAGCACATTTCTGACAGTGTGCCAAGGCAGCTGACCTCTGGATTCCTATTCATATTCATGAGGATCTTTCCCCATGACCTTCTCATAAGAAAGGCTGCTCAGCAATGCCCAGGAATAGGGCTGGGCTGAGTGGGAGAGGTGCTCCAAGGCAAAGTTGTTCCTGCAAAACAGAGGCATTGACAGCACACCTGGAGACAGAAGAGGATGGTGAATTGGCAGAGGACCATAGTCTCCATCTATATGTATACTGGAGCTGAAATGGATTTCAGAGCAGCTTGATCTACTACTTCAGTGATGTAGCTTTGAATTCCTTTGTTCTTAGAAGCTGCATATTTTTGTTGCTTTCTTATATGAGCAACTATTATTAACATTGACAAAACAAATGTAGAATTCTATAAAAATCATTCTGTGATGGATTTAATTGATGAAGCTTCCCAAGTCATACTGGACAGTTGTGAGTCAGTGGTGAATAGCATGTAAGTAGAAATACTGTTGAATAAGCCCTTGATTCTTGCATACCTTTTCCCCTCAAATGGGAAATGTCCTTGAACACGTTCCTTTGCCATGCTCTCTGTAAGTTCCTGAGTCTGTGACACTGGAATTATGTCCTCCTTGTAAAGTGCTTAGGATCAGCACAAAACTCACACTGTATTTTACTTTTGGTGAGTGGTGAACTAGAAAACCCTTTTAACCCTAAAAATTCTAGAAAGTAGAAATCTGTTTGAGAAGACCCACAATTGTGCCCAAGAACTCATGTTAGTTGAGTGTTTCTGATTGCTGATTTACAGGAAGAAGTGATTAATCACCAAGTGAAATCTGTTCTAGATTAGCATAAATTGCAGGAGGTTGGAAAAGACTCCAGATGGATTTGAATTATTTGAAAAAGCAAGCAAAACCAGCAAAGGAAATGTTGAATTGGATGAACACAGACTGCTTCCTAATAAAAAAATAAACTAAAGAGTCTAATCTGAACATCCATAATTTTCCAAAGTCAAAGCTCTAGGAATGGAGATGTCTGCCCAGGACAAGAAAATAGGGCTCTGATGGGCTGGAGATACTTCATCTGTTCTGGCATGTCAATGGGATATTGATGCCCTCAGTCCCTCAGTTTAAGCTGTATCACCTCAAAAACACACAAAAAGAAAAGTCTCATGGCAGTGAAGAGTGGGACTGTGTTCTGCAGTTTACATGGAAGGAGAAGTTGAAGCCTCCAGGGAGATGATGCTTCATGCCACAGGGCAGTGATGTGAGTGGTTCATAGCTGCAAAAGGGTCAATGGCACTTGGGGTTTCATGAAGCAATAGATGCTATTAAAACATTTATATTTGCCATGTTGTATCCCACAGCATCACCTGACGTTCTGCTGCTCCTTCTTGTTTGAAGCTGTGTGTGGTCACAGTGTTAGCAGTAACTCCCATACATACACAAATATGTAAGCTGGGGGATTGACGTGACAAAGCATAAACCTTTTTTCCATTAATATAAATGGTAAAAGTTCAGAAGGAGACTTTTTTCCTTGGACAACAGAAGTTGTATGAGTAGCTAGCAGGTTATGGGATGTTCCTTTTCTTTTGCTGGTTGGGGTAGTGGCTGTAAATGGGCAGATTACCGGCTCATTTCCAACAGTAACTTGATTTGAATTTAGTGCCCCCATAGGAACCAGGAGAATTTTATTATCTTGATTTAATTCTCAGTTTTCTTTAGAAGAACATCTATATTCTTTGCACTTTAGAGAGGTGCAAAGTTAATAGCTTGCTTCTTACAGATAAACTGCAGGGATTTCATGGTTTTTAAGGTTAATCTTTGCTTTCACTGCAGTTAATCTAGGCCATTAAGACTTCAGTGAAATCAGGCAAACCCTAGTGTCTGGCGTTAGATCTGTAACTGCCCCCTGCCCTGCTGCACCCAGATGCTGTCCCTGGGCTTGCTCTGTCTCTAAATGGCAGCAGGGTGCTGCGCAGGTGGTATGGACTCTCCTCCACCCCAGAGTGGCAAGCCAGGTACTTTGCCTGATATCAATGGCACAACACATGTCAGGACCTCTAAACCACCATGCAACAGCTTGAGAAAGCAGCTTTCTATGTGTTTGTTGAACATGGGCTATTGGCTGATACCCAGGAAGAACAAAAAGCCTCCCCATTCCCATTCCTTCCCCTTTTGGAGTATAAGCTGTGATAGTTTTGTGGCTTTACCTTAAGTGACAGTCAGTTACTTCCAGCGTCTGCTTCTGTACATGTCCTGACTCTGCCAGCTGCAATGTGACAAAAATAACACCTTAATGACAGCAAAACAAGGGGATGAGAGCAGGAGATGCTAACAGAAAATGCACATGCGATAGCTGTAATTTTAAGTTCTCTGACTTGATACATGCAGATCTGCTTCACGGTCTCCAAGCTGATTTCCCAGCGGCTCCCCCAGTGTCTGTTTGCCAGACAATGACTTCTGTGCTCATTTGAAAGCACTGAAATGATAGCAAGAAGCCTGCCTCCATCTTCCAGGTGGATGGGCCCAGCACCAGGCTCTAAAGTTGCCTCCTGCAGTAGCAGCAGCGGCACCAAGTGAAGTGCAGTAGGTCTGAAGACCCAACGTGGAATTTTAATGTGCATCTTTCTTCACAGACCTAAGAGTCTTAGCTCAGAATTGAAAGGAAACCACAGCCTTTCTCTGCAGGACAGATTGTGGCAAATGTTTGACTTGTGAGCTGGCTGCTTCTATCTGATTCTGGTTAAAACCACTGCTGGGTAAGGAGTGATTCATATATGGCAGCATGGAAGCTCATTAACTTGGGTGAAAAGATCAGCCTGCAGAGCTCAAGTGATGCATGGAGATTTTCTAGAGAATAAAGGTTCCTCATGCAGAAGAACATAGATCCTGAGGGCCTGTCTACCATAAGGTGAATTTCTGAGATGGTGAAAAACCTGATACAGGCATTGTTGTATCAACTGAAACCAGGCATCTGTTGGCTTCACTGGCATCCGCTTCTGGCACAAGCTGAAATGAGAATGCCAGTCTGTGAGCGCTTAAGGACACCCACAAGAGGCTTTGCACTGACATAACTAAATTAATTTCAAACAGATTTTATTTAAACTAGTACAATTATGATGTCTCGACA